GAACATTAAGCAAATGGTATCAGGGTCTACAAAAAAAACTTTTTACAACTCTTGAGAAGTAAATTAAGACGAAAAAGACTTTTGACAACAACATAAATGAAGTAGATTTTTAACGAATTAGCACCAAACCATAAATTTTTCAGACGTCTTTCACTTTTCCTTTTTTTTCCCTTTAAATAGAAATTGTCAGGAAAATATAACTCACAGAACACAATTAAGCACCTATTAACATCACTTAATCCAGGGTACCGATGAATACAACAAAAATAATAAAAGTACGGTATACTACATGGAAAAAAAAGTAAAATTTGAACTCTCATGTGAGAAGTTGACTGTCAGTGGGTTTTATCAACTTCTAGAAGAGAGAATAAGAACGTTATGCTAGAGTGAAGTCAGTTGTGGTTTCGTTCTTTTTTTTCAAGTATACAATTCCTTCCAAATCGTGTCTTTGATAAGAATCTCATTGTTCAGTCGGGCAGGAGTCGATCAAACTGTCCTCAAAATATTGCGCAGTCGGGCAGTTTCTTGGAAAATCAACAATACCCTCTTCATCCTGAAATGGATCTGATTAAGATTTCTACCTTGAAAATCTATTATGCCTTTTAATCACTTTGATGCTTCACTAGGTTTTTAATTCTGATAAAATCAAGCAGTCTAAACGAGAGGCAATATGCCCTTAAATGGCTGTCACGCTAACTATAGTTCAAATTCCTAGCGTTCTGAATTAGACACAGATACTAATATAACGTTCAAAGTATTTAAGAAAGCAGCCAGAGTTCATCAAATTATAAAAATTGATTTCGGATCAGACTTCAGATGCTCAAAAAAGTCTCTTCACACTCAATAAATTTTACTAGAAAGACAAATCAGATCATACGAGAGAACTCCTTCCCTTTTACAGCATCAGTGCTTTTGAAATAAAATGTTTATCTTGCTAAAAAAATTGAAAGAACTCTTATAAAGACTCCACTTTTCTTCATACAATTGGAGAAGCTTAGTAGTTTTTTTTTCAAAAACTTGAAATGCAACAAAATTCATAAACATAAGTTCCGAGAATTGTTAAGTAGGTCAAAATAATGCTGGTAAAAACTGTTTAAATAAAGTTAGTCATATGAGACCCTAAACTTCTCAACCAATTATCTCATAAAGCACGAGAATCCCACTAGATCGTCAAAATATTTACCTACTGAACCACTCATCAGAAATATAAATAAAAAAAAGCAGAAAATATAAAAAAATAATCTGCAAAACCTCCTCTTCATAGTTCAAAAAAATAAAATAAGATAAAATGAAAATAAAAATAGAAAAAAAAAACAGAGTTACAATATCGATAAATTAAGAACTTCAATTTTACTCCAACTTTCAGAGGGTCAGAAAGATTAATTTACTTTTAAATACGTTTCCAACAAAAATGAGTCAACTACGGGGCCTGCTTACAGTAAATCTATGTTTGGTTAGGACGTAATGCACATTCTGCAGACTGAACGCCTCGTGTTCATTTAATTTATATCCTGCACCAGTGTATAAATAAAGTTTAGAATTCATCGCTTATTTTGAACCGATCAAAACCAATCCCTTAATGTAACCGTGCTGAGAGTTGAAGTAGCGTTCGAATAAATGTAAGAAGGAAATGAAAAGAGTTTAAAACGCTTGCTTCAAAAACTCACTCTCTACTGTTCAGAAAATCTAAAGATTGCAGCTTTACTCACGGCTCTCCCCGGCAACAGAGGTAACAAAACTTAAAAATAAAATTAGAGCTAATCTATTTGAAGCGAAAGGTGATTTACAGTAAGTGTGGTGTTTAGGTCTATATAAATAATTTGTGCCATGATTTTTTCGCTGTCTATTGACCAATTCTATGTAGTTTAGCATTTGGCATTTAGCATACCAGAAGTGACCTAAGCCGATTGCCGTTTAATCCTTTTTTTCGCATTTCTACCACTTTTGTTATTACCCCTTTCACGTTTGAATAACTCTATCGCTGATTGTAATTTTAGCAATTCCTACAAACTAATTTTCTTGATCAAAAGCTTAAAAATATGAAGATTAAGCAGTCCCAGTAGCAAATTCTGCTAGTGTCAGGAGAAGTAACAACGGCAGTGTAAAACTATCCAAAAACATAATGAATTTAAAGTAGCAAAAACAGAAAGATGCTTGATTGGTCAGACCGGCTCTGAGTGCAAATAATACCCGATCCTGTCTAAAGTGCTCCTTTCACTTTAAAGGAATTTATTGCTTTGATATTCAAGCTTCAGTTGTTTTATAGTGCTTTTCCCCGAGTTTTCAGTCAATTCTTATCTTTTTCCTGTTTTTAGTTCAGCATTATCTTCACTAATTTGGCTCTTTTATCTACGAAAAATCATTAAATGCCGTCTTCTCAACAAATTGAACTATACCCGGTTTCTTGGAGCGTTACTAAAGCCTGAACTGTGAGATCCATACTGATAGAGGAAAATTTTTTTTTATTTCTAAATATACAGTTGACGAGTTCTGATATGTTGCTTGACATATTGCTATTCTAAAAAAGTAAGTTCGAGGAAAACTTGCAACACTGGAAAGAAGGGTGATGGGAAGGTAAAAGAATAAGAAGAACCATGTAAAGATACAAACACCTGATAATTTCTTCCTTTTTTTTTTGTTTTTGTTTTTTACAGTGACTGCTTCCAAAAAATGTAAAATTTAAATAGTACTGCGATGTTGACTGGGATTCTTCCTACCACCTTAGTATCTACAAAGAATCAAAAAAAGTAGATCAAGTCTTATTCAAATCTTATAAAACTGAAGTTCAGAATTGTTTTTAGGCGGTCTATATATACAGCCAGCTTAAAAACAAACACTGAAAAGATGACGCTAAAATTCTACAAATAGAATTTCAAAAATTCACTTAAACTCCCAAATACGATATCTGTAGGTGCAGTTAAGTTAGTAAGTTACCAAACCTTTTTTTATTTATTGCAAAAAATTTTTTTCAAATAACCACGTCTTAAGTGCTTTCAATGATAAATATTTTTTAACTACTTAGAAGCTATCAATAAAATTGGAGAAGTATTTAATGAATATCGAAAATTACAAACACTTGAAGTGACTTTAGAAAGAAAATTTAAGAAAGAAGCAAAAATAACAGCAAGAAACAGATCGATTATTCTTTTAAAAATAGAAAAGAAAGCGTTCACTATTTGGAAAAACAGAACTCCCAAAGTTGCAAGAAGTTTAATTCATTAACAACTGAAAATAGGTTTTTTTTTGTAAAATAAAACCTGTTTTTTCTCGGAAATTTTAATAGATTATTTGTAAAAATCAGTGGCTGAAGCAAGAAATGTTGAGACACAACTTTTTAAAACAATACCAAAAGACCGATTCGTTTAAATTCTGTTTTACGAGCACATGCGTTACCCCTGCAACCAGTTTTGCAAAATGTGAAATTCTTCGGCTTTTACTGAAGGATATTACAAAGGAGGAAAAGTAATCAGTAAATTTTTACTTCTTAAAGAGCAGGAGAATAAATAGATAAATGCATCGCAACACTAAAATTCATTTGGTTGGCTGTAAATAATTTAAAATTAAACACTTAGCTTTACTTTTAATTTTACAACCCTAGTCTAATTCTGCATTTGCAGAACTTATCGTTCTTATTGACATAGTAAAAACCAACAAAATCTGATGAATCAAACCGATAGATTCTTATCCAAATTCTAAAATTTCAGTCGCACTAGGATCAATCATGGTAAAGTTCCGCTGTCCAGTGAAGGAAAACCCTCTTTTTCCCATTTCGCAAGAAAATTTCTGAAGACTTCCAGTGAAGATTGCTCATGAGAAAACAAGATGATAAGAAAAAAAAAGTCGGGAATTTTGAAAAAGTAAGTATAATATCATTTTTTGCTGTCAAAAATCCATTCCTCGAAAGGAATTCACCATACAAATTAAAAATAATAACTATGACTGAAAACAAAATAAAGTAAGTACTTAATATTGTACTTCGCTTGTAATTCTACATCAAAGATTGAAGAATACAACTTCATAATTCGCATTTTTTCTGGTTACTGTTATACGTATGTCACATTTTCCACTCATTTACAGAACTCAAAAGTATTTTTAGAGAAAAAGTAATTTTGGCTCCAAATGTCAAAACTCCTAAAATTCGTATATGCAGTCTTTCTTTTTGCCCGTATTTCTTAAGTGCTGCTTCTTTCTTTCAATTTTCAGAAATTTTTACCCTTTCAAAATACAAGAATTTACTTGCTTATTGTCATCGAACAACATCAATGGTAAATGCAGATAGGTCAGTGTAGATTAGCTGGTCTGTTCTGAACCTAACTAACTCAAGTTGACAGAAAAGTTATTCAAAGTACGAAGGCTGCTGAACACAAGCAAGCAAAGCAACAATGCATCATTTCTTTCCACTTTTAACTTAATGAAGAGAGGAACAGCAAGAAGTGGAAGCGTAATTAGAAGCTTAAAATAGCTTAGTATTTTTAGAAGAAAATAAGAGTAAAAAAATGAACAAAAAATTGTATTTTCTTTTGTTAGCAAGTGACTTCTTGAAAAAATGTAGCAAAATTCAAAATCAACAGAAACAGTGGCTCTTGTTCAACACTTTCCGGAAGGATACGTCATAGGTTGAACCCCAACATAGTCTGATCAATAACTGTCGTAACCGCAACCCTCTCTCTTCTAACTAATTATTCCCTATCTTCGTCCTCCATCCTCACTATGAAGAAAAAAGAAGCAGAAAACTTGTGTGCGAAAAGAAAAATAGTTAATGAGAAATGACTGCCCATGAAAAAAAAACCTTAGCCCATAAATTTCAGAAGGTTGAAGATAATGTTAATGCTTAAAAGTGCATAGGTGGGATTCTTTTATTTTGTTAAAATGAATTCTGACAATTTATTGCTTCGTACTTACTCTCAAAATCCGATATTTACATATACTTGTCAGCCGCAGGAACTTTACAGTTAATTCATTTAAACCGGTACCATCAACAAATGTTTTTTTTTTCTTTTTCAATTTTGTTGTCTATCCGTTCTTCTCGGGTGTAGGCGCAAATGAAAACACGTTTTCTCAATAAACAAGTAAATAATTTCAGTAGAGACTCTAAAACACTAAATTTTGCTTTATAAACATTATAAACCACCAAAAAGGTAGTATATGTAAAGTGGTAAAAAAGCCTAATTACCTTATAGATACGCAAAATGGCATTAAAACATGTCCGACACTCTTTAGAGAAGTCAAATATAGACAAAAAAAAAAGAAAAAAAAAACAACTCTCACCCGGAAACTTAAGGTCACTAATCCTGCTACGGTAACCACATTCTTCTTCCACAACTATTCCTACTTATAAAACAAGATTTGAAAAAACAGTTATTATTTTACAGTTCGCTTACGTTTTCGTCAAACGTCCAAACCCCAATTTTTCGGTCACATATGTAGGGGGTCACTTGAGATGAAGATGACGTTAGATTACGGCACAGTCCAACATGTACCATAATCTCTTCCAAATGTACTCGTACAATTACACCCTGGTTTCGTTCGACACATTCTGTACGGCATTCTAAAATCATTATCACATGTTTCAGTGGCTTAGGTTGTTTGTGTGTCACATTAATCAAATTATTGGTTAAAGGATGGAAGAACGCCAAAGACGTAAGCAGAGCGGGAGCGGGAAGGAACGATGAAGGAAAGGGGAGATGCCAGAAAAAGAGCTATTTTCTTTTCGTATCTTACATTTTACAGATGGTTGGGAACTTTGACCAACACTCTAAGAAAATAAAGGGGACGAACTTCTAAACGTATAGAGCGTACAATCAAAGACCAATGATTGACAACGAAAATTAAATGTTGCGTTAAATTTTAAAAAAATAATAGTGTATTAACTTGTCTCACAAAAATTTAACAGATGTTTGTCTAAGTTTTAAAAACCACTTTTGATTTTTTGTTGCTCACTTCTCTCGATACATCTCTCCTCCTGTTAAAGAAATAAACAAAAGCTGGAAAGGTGAGGAACTACGAGCAACAAGGGTTTGCAAATCTTTTTGACGGCAATGACTCAACTTCTATAGTCGATGGATGACAGAAATATGCAAGAAAAATTTAATTTTAATTCAAGAGAAACTTAATCTGTATATGCTTTGCGGGAGAGAAAGAACTTCGTGAAAAAAAGCTTTTAAAATGTTACTTAGATAAGTTTCATCCCCAATTTTGAGTTACTGTTACATCACGGTAAGTGTCCCGATAACGACTCAATTTAGCTAATAAACCTGGGCTTTCATTTCAAGTGATTACTGTTTGTTTAGCCAGGACGATAAAAAAGGCTACTGACAAGACAAGAAAACTGTCAAATCGTACCTATGTAATTGTGAGAAAGACTGTTGCGTCAAAAGTTATCCTTTGTCGCAGGAAAATTAAAAAACTGCCGTTTCTCACTGAACCGTTCTTAAAAAGAGTTTACTTGAAAAGGGTTAAATTGATAACCCTAAATTCTCTTTTTTCTGTTATTTGCTACCTGATAGCACTGTTCACAAACCCCACCATTTCAGTCTATCATTGAATTTAGTAAGAAAGAAGCAACTCTTCTGAAACAAAGTGCTTTATTGATTGTTTTTAGAATAGAACAGG